GAAACAACTGTTTTGTATTCAAATAAATTTGATCATTCTTGTTCTGTGTTTTATGTCCCAGGCTCGGAAGGATGGAAAGCCTCTGTGCAGCAAACAGCACTTTTGCTGTGGAGCTGTTAAGAAAGCTGTGTGAGAAGAAGAGTGGGCAGAATGTGTTCTTTTCACCATTTAGTATTTCTTCTGCTTTGTCTATGGTTTTGCTGGGTTCAAGAGGTAGCACTGAAGGCCAGATAAGCAAGGTAGGTCAGAATAAAGTTAAAACAAATGGCTTTTGATGGGATCATATGAGGAACAGAGTTGTCTTCCAGGGTGTGGCATGCACATGTGCTAAACTTTGTCACTGTGGTGTGAGACAGCAGAGCAGTTCCTCTTCTGTGTGTTTAGGAATAATCAATTTTCATTGTTTTTGAAAGGGGATGTTCCTTCATTATAAAATGAAGAGTTTCTTGCCTTTTCTTGTGTGTGGTTTTTTGTGGTTTTTGAGACTAATCTTCTTTAATCTGTAATTAGGATGTACCTGGAGTGTTTTTATTGATCACTTGGTGGCTACATAAATTATTTCTTTTTCCTTCATTGCTTGGGCAATAAAATCGTATCTTACATGCTCAGAAAGGAAGTCAGGCACATTAAAAATATCATAAAAATGCCACAGTCTACATTTCAAGCTGGTAACGGCAACTTGATTTATTCCTTTTTTAAAATTTTGCTCAAGTGGCAAATATCTCTCAGTATGTGTTTTATGTAGGAAGTGACAATATTGAGTGCAGGACCGGTCCTTTTGCTTTGGATGTTTGCTTCCATTGCAAAGTGGAACGTATGAACTCAGATCTTGTTTCCATGTACTTTATAAAAATTTCTCCACAATCTATGTGGTTTCCATGTGGTTGCTATAGTTGCAGATACCCAGAATCCATCTGAACACAGTCTGAGCTACCAGCTCTAGGTGTCCCTGCTTGGGCAGGGCTTTGTAGCAGATTGTCCCCACAGGTCCCTTCCCGCCTGAGCCATTCTCTGATCCTGTAGGGCTTGCCTTGAGGGTAGGGAAATCAGCACTGCTGACTCTGCTGCTGCCTAGTTTATGACTTGTGCAACTTTTGCTGGGTACATCAGATGTTATTTGCATGATAAGCTCCAGATGGGAGGTGTGCTGAAAAAATCTTTTAGCTTTCCGTCACAATATTTAACTTAAATGTCATTTTAATATAAAACTGGTCACAAGTGTGTTTAGAGAAGTTAAGGACACTGCTGTGGATGTTGTCTCTGTGCAGGTGCTTTCTCTGAAGAACACCCAGGATGCTCACAATGGGTATCAATCCCTTCTCTCTGAAATCAATGATCCAAACACCAAATACATCCTGAGGACTGCAAACCGGCTCTATGGAGAAAAGACCTTTGAGTTTCTTCC